GTCTCTTTCTCTTTCTCTTCCTTTATCTCCTCATCTTCCCCGTCTTCTGCTACCTCTTTCTCCTGTCTTTCATCTTCCCCTTTTTCTTCCGCCCGTTTCATCATCGACTGAACACGTGAGAGCCTCTATCACGTGTCTGATTAGTCATGCGTCAAGTGATGAGGCTGTTCCTGGAAGTTTGCCTTGTTTGCACTGTCTTTCTTCCCCCATCAGGCCTAGCGCCAGCCCACAAAAAGAAAATAAAGAGGGTCCCGCCCATGACCGCATCGGGAGCCGTGACTCTCACCCCGGCGGTTCTTATTTAGAGGAAACATCATCGACCTCAACCTCAACTTCTCCCCCTCATGCAGCTTTCTTCCTCCTCAACACCACAACCAACCAGAGAACCTACCAGCGACTGAGAAACGCCTCCATCCCACGATCTCCAGCTTGCAGCAAGGCTGGCCTATCGAGCTATCTGACCCTGAGTGCTGCCTGCGGCTCCCGGCAAGGAGCTTGTTTGCCCCACTGCGATACCTATCTTCAGCTCCCAGAGCTGCCTCGTTAACGCTGAGATCCTTTCCGCGGGTTTATCGCGGATCAAGTTATTGGTACTTGATATTGCTGTACGTACTTAACCGACGTTAAATCCCCGCATTTCAGCCCATCTGTACTCTATTCCGTCCTCCTTTTAAAGCTGACATTTTACAGTTGCCATATACACGCAAAGAATATATAAACCATATTTCAGCAATATCTGTGATACTCCCTTTGCCTAGGAGATAAAAAGGGCCGGGAGATCCTCACGGCGGCGTTGTTTGGGCATAGGGGTTGCTGGGAACCCTTACGGCGCTTAACACGTCACCTTGTATGCCGCAAGCGTCTAACAGCCGCCACCAGAGAAGCCAGTCACCAGCCCCTAGTAGCCCTCTCTCCCAACCACCACTGACATCCGCGAACGTGGCGAAAAAAAAGAAGTTAGCAAAGAGGTCGGACGATGCTGCTAGAGGCGACCATGATAGTACGACTAAAAGTGAAGCGAAGGCGATTTTTGATGAATCGTGAGTAAAATGTAGATTATATATATTGCTAATATCAAACGGTTAATGCTAATCTGATACTCGCAGGTGCGAACCTTCACCAATGAGCCAGTCACCTGTTCCCTCTATGCCGCCTATGAATCCGGCAGTCGGTCCTCCAAGCGCTATCGACTCACCGGCCTTTGGACCTTTGGACTCCTTCTCACCTTCTCCTGGTGAGCAAGATCTGGCCACGAGAACAGATTCGTGGGCACGAGCTATACCATTTGGGAAAAGCCCACCAAATGATCCCGCAGATGGAGTTGGATTTGCGGAATCCCCTCCAGCCTTCACTTTACCGTCTCGAGGAGACGCTTACCGTCAAGCTTCTCCCTCAACATCTCCTCCGCAGGCTCGACTTCGACCACCGGGTTTTGCAGATGCAACACCAGCTTCCACGCCGCCCAACAGCCTCCCTCGGGATAGGCAGCAACGTTATTCTATTAGCAGTCATCGTAGCAATAGGATGAGTTTTCCACCCCCACCTCACCTCCCACAGGCGCATTTCTATTCTGCACCTGACGTTGATATTCCTGGAGCGTCCCAATCAGGTGCCAAGCACCATCAGCAACCTGGGCATTCATTTTGTGCTGTTGAGCCCCTTCCCGGTTGCTCCTACAAGTCTGCCAAGACAGGAGGCAACGTGATCCTTGTCGGTCGAGACGGTGAGCTGGACGTTCTTGGAATCGAAAATTCACGAACGAAAATAATAGGATCTATTCAAGGACTGAATGGAAGAGTTATCGATGCTAAACTCTTAACATGGACCACTGGAGCTGATCCTTTTGCGTCGATACGGCCATTAATTGCTCTTACCATCCATGGGATAGTTCCAAAGGAAGAAAATGGCGCCTTACCGGCTTCCTCTACCGAACCAGAGCAGTTGGATTTCCTAACTGGCTCGTCTCCAAAGCAAACAACAAATGCAAGACCAGACATTCCCCTAGCGCAGACGAGAGTACAGATCTACTCTCTTAAGACTAGGGATCTTGTTTCAACCTTATTTGCTACTAAGCCAGTTCCATGTGTCGACACCTTTCCTGGAGTTGCTCCATACGTACCTCCACCTACAGCCAACCTCAGAATCCTTGCCAGCGGTAATTTGGTTATTGTGGCATCTGGTACAAGCGGCGAAGTTATGGTATTTGGTGTTGCCCGTCCTCCCTCGCAGCCTATTTACCAGTGTATTGGGAAAATGTGGACGAATGTACAGCCAAAGGAAACTCGAAGGTATTCTAGTTCTTCTGCCTCTACTGATACAGACGACCCACAGGCAGAGGCTTCTCGTACGGCTAAAGTTACGGATATACCTGTTCTTTCCGTCAGCGGGCGTTGGCTTGCTGTAATCAGCCCATCTCCAAACCGAGTTTCCCTTCAGGGTGCAGTTCCACCCCATATCACGCCTAGAAAAATTTATGGGGTTGATGCCCATACGCCTCCATCCCGGCCTTCTGTTACGTGTGGTGTAGACTCTGGCGAGGGTGAAAGCTTCCTGAACAAAGTTGCAAGAGGCGTGACCCAAGAAGTATTCAAAGGAGCACGATGGATTGGAGACCAGGGTCTTCAAACCTGGAACAATTATTGGAACAAGGATTCGCAGACTGGCAACTCTACCCCGTTACGCCGACCACAGTCCATGGACCAGCATAGCTTTGCAGCGGATATCTTACCTCCCACACACGCCCAAGAGACTCAAACTCCTCCATCGAATGAGCCTGACCTTGTCTCCATCTTTGATCTAAAGCCACTTGAAGATTTTCAAGATGGGAAATCCTCAAACCCACACCCAATAGCTACTTTCCAGCCTCCTCATGGATGCAGTTTCCTTTCGTTATCGCCAAATGGACTCATGCTACTCACCGCAAGCAAAAAGGGGGATATACAAAGCATCTGGGACTTGATGCAGATTCGTCATTGTCGATCCCGCGCTTTCCTTGCCGAAGATCCGTCTTCTACTGCCAAGTCCAACCCCCCTGCTACTCATGTTCGACAGGTCGCTCGGTATGCAAGACTGACCACATCAACTATACGAGATGTCATATGGACGGCACCTAACGGCGAGCATGTTGCCATTATAACCAAGAAGGGAACAACTCACGTCTATGAAGTTCCGCCTGCTGCATTCAGATGGCCGCCACTACGGCGGTCAACTGCTGTCGCACCTGCAACGAATGCCGAATCTTATATACGTGACGAAGGAACTGACGATGGCCCTCGCAATGCCTTCTCGAGTGCCATGAAGTTGGTAGGTGAAACTACACAGCCGTTCTTAGCGGCTATGCGTGGTCGAGCTCCTAGTGTCGGCGCAGCATTTGCTGTAACCAAGGGATTTGCAATTCCGTCCGCTGGTGGTAAAGTTGTGGCGGCAGGCTTAAGCAAATCAGTGGGTGCTGCTACAGAAACCATGAATAACCTCCGATACGTAGGTGAAAACAGGCTTCATCCATCCAATTTTGCGAAAGATAGCATAGGTGCAAAGGCCGTTTGGATTGGTGATGAGCATGGTGATGAATTATCTGTCGGCATCATGGATGGTGGATCGTTCAAAGTATACCAAGTCGGCAAAAGCTCCGCCCCGCCAAAGCACAGAAAGCGAACGCAACCATTTTTTGGAGGCAAGATACTAGAGGCACGCCTCCCTGCCGAAATGCAAAACCCCTATACCCACGAACAAACTATTATCCGAGGCCCTGACACCGTCACTGGTTCCTGGTATGGGCCTACACACCATCGCCCTGGAGGTAGTTCAAAGATCAAGTCACCACCTTTGGCCCAAGCTGAGATCGAGACACATGCTCCCTACCAACCGTTCCACACTGACCGCCGTGTAAGCCTGATGGTTTACTCATCGAGGCATAGCGGATCTTCCAATTCACAGCCGTGGGTATTTGGAAATACTATCCCGACCCATAAGATTCATTTACGCAATGCCTCTCAGAGCGACACTGAAGATCGGCCCGATTCCGAAGGTATAGCCAAGTCTCGCGAGATGGAGAACCTTATCAGCCTAGGAGGCGAACATGTCATAATAACCACACGTCGCAAACGCGGACGAGGTCAAAGTGGGGATGACGTTGTTGAGGATGGGTTTTTCGAAGATGATTGTGATGTCCTTGACTTCGCGAGGGATCGTGTCTAAGTAACACAAGCACGTTTCGAGCTTACACTTGGTCTAACATCCATCGAGGAGATGATCACACACTCATTCACACGCAACGACCTTCGAAGGGCGTCACTAGGTTCAACACCACAGCTAATATCTCTCGTTCTGTTTTGCCTGTTATTTCCCCAACCAGCACCCTCTGCCTGCATTACCTTGACATATTTTCTCTGCTTTCTTTGAATTGTGGAGACTGGAAACTCTGGAGTTGGAGGGCAATACTTCTATTTACATAATTTTATCTACTGACATGTCTACACAGCTTCATCTTGATTTCTACCTTTGGTACCTGATCATTTTCATTTTCATTTTTTTTGTTGGCCCTCTAACTAGAACATAAACCTCTATTTTTCCACCACAGTTTCATTGAGGCGGTCCCCTGTTCCAGCTTTATCCGGAGTTCTGATATATGTTTTGCCCACGTCCGCATATGAAATGAGTAGAGTATGCTATCGCGGATTTGCATACTTTACTTCTACTACATCTTCCCTATTATCCATGATCATATTTTTCGTTCACCTAGGAATCCCCTTTGTTGGTCTTTTTGTTTTGACTCGATTCTATTTGTTCATGATTCACTGCTTGGGTCTAGGGAGCTAATGAGGGCTTGTTAGATGGATGGTTCTAAGGCCAGGGGTTGATACACAGGTTACTATAAGCAAACTAGCTGACTATATAATAAACACAAATCAATCAAGATATATATATGTGCATATGTATGTATATGTATATATACATCATCCTCTTGTCCCTGTCTATTCTACCAATCTTGTAACTACTGCTCAAACCCCGCTTGTCTCGTCAGCCCACCAGCGCTGAAACTCCTCGATCCTAAATGCCCGCTCCCTCGCCATCTCCCGTCCAGTAACTGTTTTCATCATCCCTTCTAACTTCACCAACTTCTCGTTAAAATGCTCAATCGCATCGTCCAAGTCAGGCTCTTTGTCACCTTCCTTGCCGGCACTTTTAGATCTGGCTCCAAGAAAGGTGAAACACCGTGCTATTCCCACTGCGCCAATTGCGTCTAGACGGTCTGCATCCTGCACGATGGCGAGTTCGGGATACCCGCCTTCAGGACTGATCAGACGCTGAACGACACTCGGGTCTTTTATCTCGGTCGAGTAGGAGACGTTTGAAACTATGGTCTGAACCCTCTGCGCTATGCTTTGGTCTGCATGATGGGATATCAGGGTATCGTAAATGATGGTGTTGGGGTTAATCTTGTGCCGGTTAGTTTGTCTGTTGAAAGAGGTAGTTACATAGTTATTGCCAAGAGCAATGGTCCTTTCTCACCTTTGAGGCTCCATCCGCTGGTTTGGGAAGATATTTCCTATCAGCTATATCGTGCATCCAGGCTGCGAGAGTGACCACCGTTTCGTCATATGTAATGGATGGGTTGCGGGTCTTTTCTTTTTCGAGGATCGTGTGGGCGAGTCTGACGACGCGTGAGACATGACGGGCGTTGTGGGAGGGGTCGTGGCCAGCCATATGTTTGGCTACGAAAGCAGATATGCGCTCGATGAGCAGCGCGTTGCTTGACATCTTTTCAGTGATGGATTTATGTGTAGTAACGAGGGACAATGTGTATGGAAATCGAAGTTTTAGTTCTGAGCTCCAGGGCTGGCAAGTCTTTACAGAAGTTATTACTTTTTCTTTTTTGTTAGATACTTATATCTATTTTGGAGTTGGTGGATCAAGATCAGCATCCGACGACATGTGGTTGTCGATTATGATCGTTGTTGAGCCTCATCACTAGAAAATCCATCCAGGATCCAAGCCTTCCTTGGATTGCCAGAAGAAAGGTTGATAACTACAAGCTATTCATCTTCCCATAAGCAAGCTTTTCTACCAATCTCTGTTGCTTGATCAGCTCTTTCCGGCCATTTATTTACCTTGTCTACAAAGTACTCCGTTGGTTACTCTTGAGAAATTGTACGACGATGCCCTGCATATGGAACCAGCCAGGAAAGACAGCCCTAAAGGTGAAACTAGCATTTTCAGCCTCAAATACCAGCACCTGTTATCCCCATGGGCTTCTTCTAGACATACATATACAAGCTCTTCCTCGAGGGTCCGTCGTTGCTTAAGTATATATATACACGATATGCGGACTCAAGGAGAGTTCCCCCCCGTGAAAAGTGGAAAGTGATATTCACGTGATTGTCTTCACTTAGTCAGCTCTCGGCAGAGATATCCGTATCGGGTTAAGCGCGGGCTTGCCTCAAGTTTGAGTTTTGCTAGTAATAACGGAGTAAACTTTATTTACTTTCTCCAAACCTCAAGCGAACCTTCGCTCGCTTGTGTTATTCTGATTATTACGGAGAACTCCATATTAAAGGTGCCATTATTACTCCGTACTTATTCATATTATGACGGCGCTTCAGTGACTGCAAGGACGGGGTAGGGGCGTGAAAGAGGGTGGGTGTCAGGTCTCGGTTGCACGACATGTGGATGTGTGTTGTCAGGCAGCAGCGAGACGAGTTGCAGGCTCCATTGAGGGCATGGCATGGATGGCATGTTGATCATCGCGACGGACAGCAGGCTTTCCTGCTTCTGCGCGCTGGGCAGCCTGTCCACCATCCGCCCACCACAGCTCTCAGTGGCCTCCTGAGTGGACTCGAAACTCGGACACACTGCTGCTCCTCCACCCCATCCTGCCTCATGCGACCGAGCAAATAGTCAATGCGGTTCACCGTCCGCCGACCAATCTCCCTTTCACCAGGTAAGACACCGTCTCGCCAAGCTTCACACCCAGCCAGGGCATCAGTCGACGACGGTGTGATGCTGGACCAGCGCCGTCCGCCACTGATTGGCCTTGCCGGCCCTGCGCACCCCAGGCCCTTCGCATTATTGAAACTCTCCTCGGCAACCTCGTGTATCTGCTGATACGCGTATCTTACCAGGCGCCTGGTCCTGTTTCAGAGCTGGCGCCGCTCTCAGCCAATCGACGAGCTGCGCTACTGCCCCGCGGCTCCACTCATCGCCAGGGGCAGCTCGGTAATTACCAATATCGTATCGCGGCTGTTTGCTGTTTCTTTTTTTGGTGTCATTTTGCGATCTCGCCCTTAAAACTTGGGGATTTTCTCCTTTTCTCTCTCTCTTTCTTTCTCCTTTCTCCTTTCTCCTTTCTCTTCTTCTTCTTCTTCTTCTTTTATCCATCAGCCTGTCTACGTTCGCTTCTTCCGTCGTCCTTCGCTTTTCTCATATACTCTACTTTAATCTACATCCCATTCCTTCGAGCCAGCTCCAACTCTCGTTTCTTCAACCAAAAAGAATCCAGTCAAGATGAAGTTCTCCGTTGCTGCCGTCGCCGCTTTCGCTGCCTTCGCTGCTGCTGCCAACACCAGCTTGACCCCAGAGCAACAGTGTGCTTCTCAGTGTATGTACCAAACGATCTTCCCCGTTCGTTGTCCAACAAGAACAGCTCATCGAAGAAGGGCCAGTGATGTTGCGATCAACGAACAATACGTCCAAAAAAATATTGGCAGAGCTAACGCGACTTAGGCCCTGAGAAGGACATCTGCTGCAAGGCCATCTGCTTCAAGGTTCCTTGCCCATCCAACCAGGACGCTAAGGACACCACTAGCTGTGCTGCCAAATGCCCTACCGACCAGGGTCCTGTTGCCTACGCCAAATGCCAGCAGGGCTGCATCCAGTCTCACTTCTACACCCCCGGTGCCACTCCCACTGCTGCTCCAACTGGCTCCTCCAGCGGTGAGAGCACCGCTACCACTACCGGCTCCAGCCCATCCAACACCTCCGGATCTGAGACCTCGCACTCTGGCTCTTCCGGCTCCTCCCCATCTGCTACCCACTCCGGCTCTGGCTCTACCCCAACTCACTCCGGTGCTGCTGTCAGCAACGCTAAGGTCCAGCTCGGCTCTGCTGCCGGTGCCGTCGGTCTCCTCGTTGCTGCTTTCGCCCTCTAAGCGCGAGACTGACATGCCATACCTTCTCTCTTTCACACTTCTGCAGTCATGTCGCTGTATCATGTCAATAACCTAGTTCTGGGCCATGTTGTAACTCTTTAATTGATAGCGGGATGACTTTTGGAGTACAGATATTGANNNNTCCCCCCCCCCCTTTTTTAACGCGCCAGTATCATAACTTACCATACCCATACCAATACTATTATACCTAATGCCTCTTATTCCAGTTTCCATCTTCTCTTGTAGGGTCCTCGCCAGTGAGAGTATGATTATCAGTCGTCATCATCTGTTGCAGTATCGTCGAAATGGCATCAAGTTGACATCCTTCTTGAGGCTTATATAGATAACTAAATGCTTGCCTCTAGCTGAGCCGCGAAATGCAAGCTCGGCACCCTAACTTACTGTTCTGGCTCAGTCTTTGTCGACCGACTGCGCCTCACTGGGGGCCCGCGACGAAAATGAACGCGCGGATGGCTGAGCCTCTGTCTTTCATGCGCGGAAGAGTATCACCTTTATCACCAACCCTGACTTATTGCTTCTTCGTCTCTGGCGCTTCCCCCCTCCATATACGGCGTATCGCACAAGCGTACATGTCTGCATCGACCTCATCCTTGCCCGTCTACCAGGTCTAGAAACTGACTGGCTGCTTCGCCCTGCCAGAGACCACGGCTGATATTGCTTGGCCCCTCCCGATTGATCGACGTTGAGTGCGCGCATCGGCTGAAGATTATGCACCTCCGTCCCTCTCATGTTGTGTTCTCGGCACTCTGTTGATGTTGAGTTCGGTGGCTAGTTACCAGGGACCATGGCGGGGATAGCTCACGAACTAGCTATTTACGTCATTCTCTTGCGGTATAAATAGTTAGTTCAGATAACTCACGGATTAACCATCAATCTTTCGTTATTCAACGAACTAGCCCTGCACTGCGGCCAGAAAAGGAGAGCCTACCGTATATTAACCTGTCTCTACGAAGTACACGATACATACAGATACAGCCATAGGCGATAACTAGTCCGTTCCGGAAGCGTAAGGCAGCGCTGATAAATAGATTCACAAACGAGAAACGTCGCTAAGATTAGAGCGAAGGATGCGTTAAACCAAGCGATTTCGACACTTCTACCTTTCGCATCTCTTTCGACACGCAGGCCGTCGTCCATCGTCTTTCCCTCCCGTCGCTCTTGTCGCCCGTGGCCATCATGTCGGTCCAGGTCTTCCTTAACCGGCCGCACCCGTTCTTTACAAACCTCGACTACATCTCCGGCAAGGCTGTTTTGTCCCTCTCGACGGAAACCGCCATATCTTCCATCAATGTCAAGCTAGAGGGCGAGAGTCGGACTCGTTTGGCCGCGGCGAAGTATCCGCATAACGAACGATCGGACAAGAAGCGGACCGAGATTGAATTGCACAAGGTCAGAACAAATATAAAACATCTCAGATAAATAAGAGAGTTGATGCTAACGCGGGGGCCATGTTTCTTTTGATATAGGTGCTGTATAAGGTCGTCACTGTCTTTCCTGGGCCCGATATCCAAGATAATGTGTCACCTAATACATTCTATACCCTCTTGCCGGGGGTGTATGAATATCCTTTTCAGTTTAGGGTGTGTACGGTATTTTGGATATGATATATGAAATGCTGCTGTGAGGGCTGGCTCGCTGATCTGATGGTTGTGTAGTTCCCATTTAACAACGACTGTATCGATAACCCGCTACCCACCAATTTGAATATGGCTGGCATAAGGGTAGAGGTAGCCCGAGATACTAACCAGCATATTCGAAGGACTCTTCCTCCTTCATTGACCGGGTTTCCCGGTGAAGCGGAGATCAAATATTATATCAAGGCAACCGTCGTCAGGCCGCAGTTTTACAAGGAGAACTACAGAGGAGTGCGCCTTTCTCACCCTGACATTTGATTAACTAACACCACTGTTGGGGAAATTTTTACAATACTGATCTTTTATTCAGTTTGCGGATTACAAGTTCCTTCCCATAGAACCGCCGCGGAAGAAGGAGATTGATAAGGAATCATATGCCAGACGAGAACATCAGTTTAAGGCTAAAATACCACCGCAGTCGCCGCAGTCCCCACAGTCCCCGCAGGAGAAAAAAGGACTCTTCAAAGGGAGTACTGAAACCGAACTGTTGCCTCGTTTCTCTGTCGATGCACGCCTGCCTAGCCCCCCGATAATAACATGCAACGAACCACTACCACTCCGCATCCTGATAAAGAAGCTCAATGACAGTAACGAGATTGTTACTCTCCAGCTTCTTCAAATAGAACTGATATCCTACACCCATGTCCGTGCCCAGGATCTGACTCGCACCGAAAGCGGAAGCTGGGTCATTACCACTCGAAGTAACATTGGCTTGCCGCTAGGAAATAGCAATGACCGGGCAGGTAAAGAGTGGAAGCTAGATGCGGAAATGTGGAATCGCATCCATCTCCCTAGTTCCGTTCTTCCGTCCTTTGAGACATGCAATTTGTCAAGAACATATGAGCTGGAGATACGAGTTGGACTGGCCCATGGGCCAGTTGGGTTGAAGGTACTCCTCTTAATTTTTTATCCAATTTCATTTCACCACAGGTTATTTATTTATTTGTCTATTTATTTATTTTTTTCTATCTCACTAACCCCCTGGGCAACGAATAACTGAACACATACTGACCATTTACCATAGAAAGGTCTGATTGTCCTTCCTCTACGGATGGCTGTTCAGGTGTATTCCGGTATTGCACCGCCCCAAGCACTCCTAGACGCTATGAATGGACATCCATCGAAAGGGTCAATTCCAGCTCCGGTACAAAGCCCGGTCTTCGGATTTGGTCCTGGGCCGAGCCACATACAGCCTAGCCAGCCTATGGCAGGCCCTGGTCCTGGCCCCAGCCCGATCCCGATGAACCCGAATATACCACCTCCCCAGCCCCCACGTCCAAACCCGGCAAACCACCCCGTTTTAATGGAAAACTACGAAGAAGCACCCCCACCCAGCTACGAAGATGCGATGGCGGATGCTCTTGCGCCAGTAGATGGCCCGAGGCACGAGTATAACCCACTTGCCGCATCACAACGCTCTTCATCATGGACCTCAACTGATGCTCAATCTTCAGCGCCCCCAGGTAACCCTAGGAGTAACAGCTTCGGCCCCTCCGGTTCCGGTGGCTATGATATAGATTCAAAAAGTGACGAACGACTATTCCCCAGCGAAGCTGGATCACGCTCACCGACGTTCGAGTTCACGAGTATTCCACCTGTGACAGTCGAGAGAGATGTTAACCAGTCATCTCGTCCTTCCTCCACGACCGAAACTGATGGCCCAGAAAATAGCAGCCTGCCAATGCAGAAACAGATACGTGAGTTTCAACACTATCAGACCACAGGCCAACTGGACGGCGTATCCGAGTCACCAACCACATCAACAACAGATCTGCCTTTAATGACATCCTCATCAACAGTATCACTTCCAATAGACAGACCGCCTCAACCGTCGAGACGGATCACGCCAACCATGCCGAATCTAGGTATACCTCCTAGAAAACCTGTTCCTGCACCGAAGAAGATGAATTCTTTGCCTTGAATTACATACTCAGGATGATTTTCTTTCATGCGCTTCAACCAAGCGGTGGGCTGGTGGCTGGTTAATGGAGTTGTGGGGCTGGTATCTTGATTCGACTTCAAAATTATCACTGTTATCATGAGCGTGGGGCGTATTTCATTTCTATGATGGTACTAAAGGATGCAGGAGTTGACTCCATGATGGTTTCTATGTGGCCAACCGCTACCGTTATTAACTATCTGGGTTGGTACTAGGAAGAGCGGACAGAACTATGGCCCTCTACCTTCCATAGGGAAACTAATGGAGATATATATATCTACTGAATGATCGAATTGATATCATAGATTACGTCGTTTTCTTCAGCTCCTACCTCCACTGAACCATTCACGGTCTAGACTGTCACTCTTTGATAAACAGCCCCTAAGTAACTTAGCCTGACCAGCAAATGGCCTTGGGGCTTGCTATGGAGTTTGGAGTTGCAAGCGAGTTAATTAACTACGCCAAGCTCCCGCGTCACTTCAAACCTTAAACTAACTAACGTTGCTGAAGCTCCTCGACTTTTCCACTACGAGCTTCTCCTCCCTCTTCTCCTCCCTCTCCCTCTACTGTTCTTGACGGATTCAGCCTTTTATTCAAGAGGAGAAGATACATCCTTCATTGTTACGTGAAACGAGGGGAGAATTCCTGGCGTGGCCGTTGTCGTCACTGCCACAGATGCGAACTTGCCTCAGTCGAAGAGGCGCGCGAGACCGCTGCAGACTGACCGTTGAACCATTAACCAGCGACATTGATACATTACACGGCAGTAACAATGCGCCTTCATCTCATCGTTCATCGGCATGAGTTGCCCGTCACGCGCCTTCTATGGAGTACGCCCGTAACGCAAAGTCCCAGCTTGTCGCTATCCCGCCAACCGTCTGCCCTGTCATCATTCACCAGCTCCGGCCCTGCCTCCATACGTACGCTGAGCGCGAGTGGAAGTTTCAATACTGCGTATACTACAGCCTGTGCCCCAGCTGCTGCAGGCGGAGATTCCAATTATATCATCTCTCAGTTGCTGGCAGATGTTAATGAGGTGGTACCGCTGGGAGCGCCAACGAGCACTGGGGATGCGGAAGATGATGATGGCGGGCAGTGGCATTTACATGACTATGTTGTGGAGGTAATGGGCTCCGAATGCTTGCATTTCATGCGTGTTGACACGCTGCTTAGAGAGGGTGATGAAGTTGTGTAAGTGTTGGCCTGAAAGCCTACTATTTTACCTTATGCTAACATTTCTGTTTTAGGATTCGTCCTCTAGATCATGAAGATATATCAGCCAGAGTAGCAACTGGAAGACGACAGGTGACCGATGACGGGACATATCTAATTGATGGCGTTCCCTGGGGGAAATCACGCCTGGAGCTAAAACGGACAACCGTGTCTCGACCTTCTATAACAATACCCCCCAGGAATAAGAGACGGCGACTTGAAGGCCCAGACCGGGGTCTCGGTGAAGTGACAGACCCTTCTTCTCTTCTCAATGAACCGACTGTAGTCATTGAAGACGTTAATCATCGAAAAAATGACGCCCAGAAGTCGGAGAAAGAACCTGCTATGGCGCAAGATAATGCGGTCATTGAGGAGACGCAGGAATCGAATGCTGTAGTTGAAGGAGACGAAGAAGACCCAACTTCTGCCACTGGTGGTGTACCTGTCCCTTCGCAGACAGCTGCGGTAGAGGAGAGCGTATTAACCACTCCTCCCACCGTTAAACGACATAAAACAACACATGTCGCTTCGGAGGGAGCTCGGTTACCGGACCACGAAGAAGAAAATCAATCGGAAGATTCATCAAGCAAATATTCATCGGAAGACGAGACTTTGAGCTCTAGTGAGGATGAGTCTAGTGATGACAGTTCAGATTCAGGTTCGGAGTCAGACTCTGATTCCAGCTCTGAATCGGAATCCGATTCTAATTCGGATTCAAGCTCGGACACAACTTCTAGCTCTAGTTCGTCAAGTAGCTCGAGCTCCGATTCAGACTCGGATTCATCTTCTGGTCTTAGTTCTGTCCCAAAATTGCCCACTTCTAAAAAGAAAGGCACACTACCCAAATCGGAATCTTCCAAGCAGAAGAATAATGTTGCGAAAGGAAAAGTCAACCCCCCGGGTCATGGCACTTTACGCACGAAACATGGCAATTTGAGAACAAAGTGGCGTAGAAGATTGATCCGGCTGAAGATTGCTGGTATCCTGGATAAAGATGCTAATTTCGAAGACATGCGAGCCTGGGAGAACGGACAAGGAGGCTCTGAGGCTGTAAATGCTTTGCTTGAGGCTAAAGAACAATCAGAATTCGAAAGAAAGAGAGAGCAGCTACTACGTGATATAGATGAGGGTGGAATTGAAGTACCGTCCCCCTCAGAGAAGAGAAGGAAACATAAGGAGACCCCATCATCTGTCGAGGTAGACTGTCTTGCAACCTCTACACCAGCCAAGGATAAAGCTTCTCCTGTTCCGGATGGCCCGGTTTCCGTTCCCGCAAGGCAGTCGAAGTTAGATATTGACAGCACGCGGCGTCTTTTATTTGGATCTTTAGGCGTTAAGACACCAAAAACGAAGGAAGACGAAGAGAAAACCCGGGCTAAACTTGCACAGAAGAGTAGCCTAACCCCAAAAGCTACACCAAAGGAGCCTGAGTGTGTTACATTTGAGACTTCAGAAGAAGTACTCCAGCCAATTCAGAATTGGCAAGCCAAGATTACACTCAAGGCCACCGAATGCTTTTATGATGGCGTTAAATTATCTACACCTCCATTCCCCTTCGTGCAGAGATGGGATTCCAACGCCCAAGCTGTCATTCAGGAGCTACGCGCAAGCCAGGCTCCCCAAAGCAAGAAAAAGAAAAAGAACAAACGGAAACGGCAATCCCAATCCAACGGTGAGAACGAGAAGGAATACCCGGATGAACCCGGCCAGAACGAGAACCATTCAAACGAAGATATTACACTTGACTACGGGGATGAGACCGGTGGCCTAAGCATGGATGTATCCCTCGTTGCAGAGACACAACCAAAGGCGAAGTCTCAGAGTGATAAGAGAACGTCCAGCCCCGAAAATCAAGGCCTCATGGAGTGTAGAGCTGGAGACCTGCCTCCTCTACCTAAAGATATGTCAACACTGCCCAATGCGGATAAAACCAATCTATTGCCAGGTGCGATTTTTGCATTTAAACAGCTAGACGTTTCCAAGGCTACGAATTGGCAGCCCCAAGTGTCTTCCTACCGCACTGCAATTGTGGAAAACGTGAACTCTGCCAACACAATCACTTTCCGTCTTGCCCAACGCGATCGAGATGTAGTAGAAAGTGATGATGCCGATGAAGGTCAACCACGAAGTTATACAAAGTTCGAAATGCCTGGTTTCGATGACGTCGAGGAAGAAGACGATGGGCTGCGGGAACTTGAGATCCAAAACCTCATTGATGCAAAACTCATCAGTGCTGCTCCTCGTGTATCTGCAAGTAAAATACAGGAGCAACTTGCAGATATAGAAGAGGAATTGGTGAGACTCCAAGAGGAGCAAGTGCTGGAGAATCTGGCAGGTGAATCGATAAATCTCGCCAGTGAGGTGTCGGAGACGCAAAATGTTCGCATGTTGGTGTAATGTTAAAACCCCTTGTGCCATGTAATATATTTACTTACTATTTTTATGCAGTACTGAGAATGCGCCAAACCTTAACTCTTCACAGCCAGAGGATATCCAAGTTTCTTCTCCTAGCCGCCGGGAAATATCACAGCTCATTAAAGATGCTGGATTTAGGTCTTCTGTGAATTCTGAGCTGGCTGTCCCTGACAGGGTAGAAGTCGTGGAAGACAGTTGTCCCAATTTGGAACATAAGCGGCAAGATGACAGCGAGGGAACTGTTTGCGATCAAAGTCCCAAGGACCAAACTGTTGTGCAAAGAAGCGTTGCGCTTCCTCGAGATGCCGAGAAACAAGATGCAGCAGGGCCGCGTGAAGATAGCCCAGTTGTTGAATCACCTAAATTCACTGGCTTTGATTATGACTCGCCTCCAAAGGGAGCAACAGAAGAAACCCCGGCGGAACCAGGACCACGTAAATCTCCAACTCCTCCCGTGAATTCAACGGTTCCAGAAACAGCAAAACCGTCACCTTTATCGGCTCTAGAGGATTGGATATCTGCGCAAGGCTCCACCCACGGTAGTGAGAAGGGAAAGAATCCAGAGCCGCCGAACAATCCGGATGAAACCGATGACGATGACGACAGTGGTGATAGCAACCCAAACTCACTCGTGCCCAATCCATTCTATGAAATAGACAATCTCTCTGAGAATGATCCAACCCCGTCATTGGAAGAACTGCTTGCAGAAGCTACTCCGTGCCCGCCAGTTTCATTAAAGCCACCGCCAGCTGCCCACAAGCCTGCTGGGCCGTCCTCACCTTTACCAACGGCCAATCCGTCCGTAAACACGCAGGACTCGGCTGCAAAATCAACTTCACCCCCATCACACGAAGACGAATTACTGTTGCAGGGTGGGCAGGATGCTGCAGAGAATAATGAGCCTTCTGCGTCCCAGATACCAGATGGTTCTATAGTAGTAGACTTGACATTGTCAAGTGATCCTGGGGCAGGTGGTGATGATGATTACGTCGATGAAGGTGATGATGGCTTTGAGGAAGATTCATCACTTTTCCATGGGCCTGGGTGGGTAACTAAACGGAAACCAAAGACAGCGGCGAAGCCAAAGGCTAAACCCAAGGGTAAGGGTAAAGCCCGAAGTTCAGCATCACAAGGGAGTCAAAGAGGTGGTCGACGGCCGAGATTAGTGATTAAAAGGAGTACTGTTTGATTTATGGAGCATTTGCATGTAACGGCAAAGGTATGGCGTAATGGAGGATGGGAGGTCATTTCACGTGTGTGTGTTCATGTTAATGATGACAACGTAATAGCAAATGCACAATATCTGAATCGTACTTTATCATCTTGGTGCCTTGTGAATAGTAAGAGCTATAGGTAAGTTATAACTACAGACTGAAAGACTAATTATTAATCTCGACTCTCGATAACTGTAAAGTGACAACGTCTCTCTACATGACAACCTTCCCAGGAAGATCAACAGTCAACACATCAGTTCCAGCTACCAATTCCTTTTTCCCGGGCATATTTCCCCTTCTCATGAGCTCAGCGCTCTTCGAGACGATAGGATCCATTCCCATAGTAGCAACTGCCACCACTGTGTCACCAGATGTGTAGAAAGCAGCAAACTTCGCATTCTCGGGCTCCCCTTTCATGACGATATCATCGTATCCGTTCACCGTGTTACCACAGTATCGGAGCTGAGCACCCAATGCCGACCAGAAAATTGGAATGAACGGCTTTGGCTTAATAGGGTGGCTGGACGTTGACGAGTGTGCGATTGTGCGCCCAACACTACGGCCGGAGTTCTGGGCCACGTTCCAATGTTCAATACGAACATGGAATTTACCATCCTGCCCTCCAGGGCCGTGATAAGGGTATGTGGCAATGTCTCCTATGGCGTAGACGTCCTTTAGGCCCTGGACGGCAAAGGACTCATCGGTCCTTAGAGAGCCATCTTTTTCAAGTTTCACAGCTGGGTTCTCTTTAATATATTCCGTTGCAGGAGCAACACCAACGCCGAGAATGACCAGATCAGCCGGTAATTCTGTTCCATCCTTCAAATGCACTGCGCCAACCTTGGAGGAATCTGCAGAACAAGGGGTAGCTTTCTCCACAGATGCAGACAAGTGAAATTTAACACCTGATTTCTCCAGATTACGTTGGAAAATGCGGCCGACTTCTGCTCCCATGACACGCTCTAGAGGTGCAGATTCCATCCCAACAATGGTAACCTTATTCTCTTTCGCCAATGCATTGCCTACTTCCATGCCGATGAAAGAGCTCCCGATGACGACAATGTTCTTACCCTTCTCTCCTACGGCAGCCAGGATGGCCTGGACATCCGTTACATATCGAAGAGTAAAAACGTTGCCCAACTCTTTAAACCCTGGAAGTGGCAGAACTCTAGGGGTTCCACCTGTGGCCAGAACAAGTTTGGTGTATGGGTATGACTTTCCAGACTTTGTGGCCACGGACTTCTTCTCGAAGTCGACAGCAGTCACCTCATCGGAGACTGCATTTACAGAGACGTTCGAATACCAATCCTTGGATCTGAGTTCTATCTTTGAAGGATCCGCTATCAATGCTTTGGAGAACTTGGTCCTGTCCAACGGGAGGTTAGGCTCTTTTGATATCATGGTGATGTTTCCACTATATCCAAGCTCCCTGAGGGACTCGATGGTACCGAATGCTCCGCTCCCGCTACAGAAGCCCAATGTTAGTGACATCTATACCATCCCCGAGAGAAATGTTGATGTATGCATACCCTCCCACTACAACGACGTTGTCATTCCCAGCAACTTTGCAGGTCTTTACCGGCTCTCTACCCCATGCTTTGAGGGATGCTTCATCCGTATGGACATAAAACGCCCCGTCCTTTTCAGAAATGTCATACTTGTTCAATGCGTTGGGTGCGGGAGCATCTTCCACATCTCCACTGTTCACATTGAAACAGGCTAAATACCTATCAGCGCAGCTTTCTTTTTTTTTTTTTTTTT